GACACCCCATGATCACCCTGTATGCTGGCTTCCTTGCTGCAAAGAGCTACATTAAGCTGTCTCTGGTTACAGGTACGTTCATGGTGGTATTTGGATGACAGGCAACAGCAAAGTAAACAGGCAAAATGTAAATAACTGGCAAACTTGGGTAAAGAGTTTATGAGAATTTCTTATACTATTTTTGCAACTTTTTTATAGCGTTGAAATGATATAAAAAGTTTTAAAACATCAGGAAAGATCGCTTCTCAGGCTTTTGGCTAAGATTAAGTATAAAATATCAGGAAAGAATCGTAAGAATATTAACAATGGGAATAATAAGGATAAGCATAATAAAACATGGCAGTTCATTACTTTATGGTCTCTTGGCATTATATGGAAATTTCCATAGTTGAATAGATAAAAAGAAAAATATTAAGAAAAATATGATAAAAATTTTGTTAAAATGTTCCTAATATATAAATGTACACAAAGCAAAACTAAAAAGAAATACGTTAGAAGCTTAACGGTTGCTATCTTTACATTCCAGATTCATGGGTAATTAAAAAATTTGTTCTAGTCATAGTGCTCTGATTTTTGAATACTCCACAATAATATCGTTCCACAAAAACATGAAATATTTGCAATAAGTGAAACAAAATAGTTGGCACAATTTTATAAAACTCTTAAGACAATTCCAAGGCCTGTTAGCCTTCCTAGCAAGGTCCCTTCAATAAAGTCCCAACTTACTTTGTCCACTTGATGCCAGCTAGTTCCTATGCCTCAATGAAAATGTATTCGAGAGATTACCAACTCAGGCTCAGAACCCAGAATGTATACAGGCCAACCCCAGCTCCACTTCTTACTAGCTGGGTTGACTATGGGCAAATAACTCATTCTCCCTCTGTCTCATCTTTAAAATGGAAAAAAAAAAAGCAGTACCCTACCATAGAGCCATCGTGTGGCATAAACGCACTTAATAAAGTTAGCAATTAAGTCTTGATGATTATCAATATCCATGCCCGAGAACACATATTACACGTTCTCAGTTGAAGTGAATGTATCTGTAAAATAAAAAAGCCAAGTACCACTTACGTAGAGCTTTGCTTTCAGTAACCAAGAAGTCACTCCGCACAGTCCTCTTTGAGAAGTCAGCCTGGAGAGCTGTGAAACACCCTGACGTTGTCGCCGCCTTTGGTAAAAGTTAAATGCTCCCTTCCCTATGTGGAGGATGGAAGCAACCCTCTCCTTCCTAAAAACAAACAAACAAACAAAAACGGGGTCAGAAGGCATCTGGGATTATAAAGCGTACTGCAGGGGTCAGAGAGAAGGGCCTGGGCCACTGCAGCTGGAGCTCTGACCCCAACCGGGACACCAGACCGCTTCGTGGGAGATTAAGAGATCACCACTCATCACTTAACAGGAACTGTTCTGGGGGCTTATGTTCGTACTACCTCTTTCAGTTCCCAAAACAATTCTATCAGGATGGTTCTAAAATGTTTATTTTAAAAAAACAACAAGGAAAAGATTAAGTCCCACCCCACCTTTATACTAAGAATGTGACCGCACGAGTCGGGTGGAGGGAGGCAGACTGGGCGAGCTGAGAGCCCGGGAAACCCTCAGAACAGGCCACACGCGACACGACCCAGTCACGACAAACTCCCTCCTCGCCACCCCCCAATGCTCCGGAGAACAGCTCCAAACGCAAGAGGTCTCCGTCGACGGGAACACACGCCGCCGCCCTCGCCCCTCCAAACCTCCGCTCTCCGCCGAGACTTCTTTTCCCCTTACTCAAACTGGGTCGTTGCGAACCCTAAACATACCCGCAGACATTCTGAAGGACCCCCAAGAAACGGAAGAATCTGAAACTACCACGGAAGGTAGCGCAACCCACGCCCGGGGACCGGAAGTGCCCGCGACTCCACAGAGCGTCTGGACTACACTTCCCAGAATTCCCCGGTCTCCCGCCTGCGCCAAAGTGCCCGCGATTCCACGGAGCGTTTGGTCCAAGTTTCTCTGAAAGCCAAAGGAAAACGTCCACAGTATCACCTGCCAAGGGGAAGTGTTGAGACTACACCTCCCGCAATGCCCAAGGGGGACTAATCCCAGAGCCCCCGAGCGCCTGGCCAGTACCGTGGACTGTTAAATTGAGAGGCATCCTTATCTCTTCGTGAGTCCTCAAGCGAAAGTACTGTCTAGACACGACTTCCTGAAGCCTAAATGCCTCCAGTTATGACAAGAGTATTATTGGAAAGGGAACAAGCGAGGAGATACGATCTTCAAGGAATGAATGAGAGTGACTGGTTAGCGGTCGGTAGATGACTCAAAGGAAGCTACTGGTTAGCATAAGCTGACAACATGAGGCCAAAACTAAGAGTTTAAAAGATGGACAAAGAATGGCTTGGGAGGGGCAGTGAGGAGCGGGGAAGGTACCAGCCCCTACTCCAGATGCTGTGATGCCACTGGTTTGGCAGGAAAAACCACCACCATTTGAGAGGGCCAATGGGGAAGCTATATTCTCATGTAAAAACTCTTACTACATTTAAAGTTTTCGTAGTATTAATATCCCCACTTTAGATGCAGAAACACCAAATTTCAGGTAAGTTAGTAAATTGCTCAGTATCTCAACGCAAGTATAACCGTTGAAGAGCTTGGCATTATCATCAATATGTCACCCGAAGCTTATGATTTATTGCAGTAGTACTGAGGAGGATTCTGTAGGTGACAGAGCACGTTTTAACTGAGGCAGGAACGGAGCGCGAGCAGGAGCGGGGTAGGCACCGTGGCTGGGATCACCACCATGGAGGCGGTGCAGCGCAAGATCCCGGTTCTGCAACAGCGGGCTGATGATGCAGAGGGCAGAGCCGAGCGCCTCCGGCGGGAAGCGGAGGGAGAAAGGCGGGCCCGGGAACAGGCTGAGGCTGAGGTGGCCTCCTTGAACCGCAGGATCCAGCCGGTTGAAGAGGAGCTGGATCGTGCTCAGGGGCGCCTGGCCACTGCCCTGCAAAAGGTAGAGGAAGCGAAAAAGCTGCTGCTGAGAGAGAGAGAGGTATGAAGGTGATTGAAAACCAGGCCTTAAATGATGAAGAAAAGATGGATCTCCAGGAAATCCAACTCAAAGAGCTAAACATACCGCAGAAGAGGCAGATGGGAAATATGCAGAGGTGGCTCGTAAGCTGGTGATTATTGAAGGAGACTTGGGACGCACAGAGGAACCAGCTGCGCTGGCAGAGTCCCGTTGCCGAGAGATGGATGAGAAAATCAGACGGATGGACCAAAACCTGAAGTGTCTGAGGGCTGCTGAAGAAAAGTATTCTCAAAAAGAAGGCAAACATGAGGAAGAGATAAAGATTCTTACTGATAAACTCAAGGAGGCAGAGACCCGTGCTAAGTTTGCTGAGAGATGGATAGCCAAGCTGGAAAAGGCAATTGATGATTTGGAAGATAAACTGAAATGTACCGAAGACGGGCACCTCTGTACA